CATCCCCCATGGCTTCAAGAAGTGTAGTTTCAGTTTAATTTCTGAATCGGTGATTTTTAGTTTCCGATCGGGAATTTCAGTTTCCGAATCCTGGAATCTTAGTTTCCGAATTAAGGATCCAATTTCCAAATCGGTGAATTTTCCGTTTGCGAATCGGTGGTTTTTACTGTTGACACTTTTGACCCGCTACAACAGCACGAGGATGAAAAAAGTGACAACACTTACAAGGACCGCAATCCCGGAAGCCCAATTCTTGTGACTTTTGGCACTTTTGACCCGCTCCCCAAGTGATGACACTGACAGTGATCGCGATTCCGGCGGGCGTGCGACACTCCCCGACGCTCGCGGACGCCTTGCGGATGCTAGCGGACGCTTTAACAGCGACTTTTGCCTGGACCCTTGGACCCCAACTCTCAAAACTAACGCATTCGAGAAAATCGTTTGTCTGCGCTTTTAGTATGCTGCACATATTTCAGCGAAAGACAGCTTTCTTCGACTGGTTTGATTGTGCGCCTTCTTGTGTTGCTTGCATGGCCGCGGAATTCGTTCTGCAGCTTTTGGTGAGGAAGCGTACTGGCAACGTCTTGCAGCGTCCTTCCTGCTTGCTGAAGCAGAGTGGCTTCAGGTGTGTGAGCGTTGGACTGATGTGGATGTCCGGTTATTCACGATACCAACGCGGACATCTCTGCTACAGAGGTTGGTAGGATTTATTTATTCAGGTGTGTTGGGAATTGTGAGACATCCTTTCATATAGACGGCGTGAATGCTCCGAAAAACGTTCAGTCCCAGGCACAGCAGTGATGACCGAGCAGGCGCAGATTGACTGGACGTATAGTGTCGTTCCAGAAGGATGCCTTCACCAAATCTGTTCACCATAGCCGCATCGTGGTAAACTATTAACGACCGAAGTCGAGGAAATCCTGCAGGATGGAAGTATGCATTAGAATTTGCTAGGCTGCCGCTAGGTTAGGTGGGCTTAAGCAAGTGATCAATGCCTTCTCGAATGAGGTTGTCCATGGTGGGTGTCTGCGTCTCCGCTTTCCCCTGGGCCTCCTTGCGCAGACAGACAAGAGAAGCTTCAGCTTCAGCCTCAGTATCGGCGCATGTGTTTGTTGTGTGCCAGAAGAGCGGACATGCGGCAGGCCCCGCTCAGCTAAATCCACATAATCACACCATGGAGCAAGACCACCATCAACTGGAACCAAATGAGGCACAAAATTTGCGCCTCTGGGCTGGGCCTTTGAGATTTCAAGGAATGAGCCAGCATGGAAACTCGCGAAGTTCCGTAGGGGCCACAAAGGTGTACGACTCCACGTGTTGTCATGAGCTTTGGTTCTCCTGCATCTGAAACCAATGTGAAGGATCTGCATAGAAACCTGTAGCGTAATGAAGCATCGCATCTTGCCCTCCAACGTGGCGAGCCCATGAAGGAACAGAATTGGAAATGTTCGTCGAAACTCTGAATACCTACGCCCGCCAACCCGCGGAAGCCGTGAATTGCCTCCTCGCCCTTGTCTGTCCGGTGCGCGCCTAGGCCTGGGAGCATGGGCAGCAATGGNNCTAGTGGTTGCGGATCTGGACTGCTGCCTTTTCAAGACCCATCCTGTAGAACACCTGGGATTCCCACTAAGGCCATTAGGGCGGCTATTTGTGGTGCGACTCACCTGACGCTTGATAGTTCAATCCCAAGGCAGAAAGGAACAACCTTGTAAGGAATCGATGGATATTGACAAGGGGCTCCTTCAATCTGGCTTCATGTCTGGCAGGCACTCCACATCACACGGGCTCTACATGGGCCCTGCCTAACATTCTCTGCAAGCTGTTGCTGCAGCTCCATCATGTCATACTACGCATGGTGCCTGCCCAGCCCTGGTCGTCCGCGATGAAGAGAAGGATGTTAGGCCTCTTCAGCTCCTGCCGCCCTCCCGAGCCTTATAAACTACATAATGGCTCGAAGCCAAAAGCTCTTGTAGCATGCCTGGGTCTAAGGGGCAAGAAACTCTGTGTGTGGGGGCAGTGATTGCCAAGTCTCAAGCACTAGTCTTTCCTCGAGAAGCTTCACGTAACACACAGAGTCCAAGCATTCCAAAACCACAAGTTGGGCCTAGGGATTCGGAGCATCTTGCTGCAGTGCTTCAGGCTCCATCCTTGCCAATCTCAAGCCGACGTTGTAGGAAGTCCACTGCGAAAGCCTGCCCAGCCGGCTGTGTGGCAGCGCAGCAAGCTGGGTGCTAAGGGTTCAAGCAGCGAAGGAGCTGATGGGGTACGGTGGAGCAGTATGTTAAGAAGCTTTATTGAACAAGAAACCAGACTCTGGATGCGGGAAAAATCAATTATTTGAGACTCTCACTCAGCGGAAAATCCTTGGTACGCACAAGCTTTGGGCAATTCAGAATAAAGGGAAGCCTCCCTGAAGGCCCCACCACTTGAGCCTGAACATTGAAAAGCGCGTGGTTTCGGTGGCTTCCGCCCCAAGCACGCGCTTTTCAAGATTCGCGCCTCTCCAGCCCCCCAAAGCCTCTCACCCTTCAAAACCTCCAGAACCTCCACCCGCAAGGCCTCCCAGCTCTCCTCAAGGCCCCGGAAAACACGGACCACTGAAACTTGAAAAGCGCGTGTTTTCAAGACTCACGCCTCCCCAGCCCCTTTGGGCTCACCCTTCAATTTTCAAGATTCTCCCAGCCCCTCAAAGCCTCCCAGCCTCTGGCCGCTTTTTCGAAGCCCCTAGAACCTCCACCTCCCAAGCCCCTCAAGGTTCAGGAAGATCCGGACCCCTGAAAGTTGAAAAGCACGCGGTTTCGGTGTTTTTTTCGGCTCCCTAAAACACCGAAACCATGCGCTTTTCAACTTTCAGGAGGTCTGTGGCCTCAGGCCCCGAAAAAGAGGCCGCGTCCCAGGCCACTGCCATGGGGAGTTGAGCTGCGGACCTGCCGATCTTGGGCCTGTCCAAATCTATTGTTGGATAAAAGATGCAGAACGCACTTGAATTTTGAACCCCAAAAAAAGGCCCTGGAGACCTGGAAGTTGAAAAGCGCGTGGTTCCGTGTTTTCGCCCCCCAAAACACGAAACCACGCCAGCTCCTCAAAGCCTCCCTCAACCCCAGAACCTGTCAAGGCCTACCAGCTGCCCCCTCTAAGCTTCCTGACCTCACCCTTCAATGCCCCGGGGTCTCCCAGCTCCCCCCTCAAGGCCCCAAAAAGAGCCGGACCACTGAAAGTTGAAAAGCGCGTGGTTTCGGTGTTTCCGGCCCCCAAAACACCGAAACCACGCGCTTTTCAAATGGTGTGTTTGGTGATGTCCCATTGGGGCCTGGGTTTTCTGGAGGGTTGGACTGGGCTTTAAGAAATTTATTCGAGACTCTAGGGGCGGTCGTTACATTTCTTACCTATACCCGCTTAAGAAATGTTGAGACTCTGGCTCGGGGCCGTAATTTTCTTAACATAAGGTTTGACCGTAGGCCAGTTGTTTGTTTAGGGGTTGGCTATCTTATAATCCCAGAATCTCCAATACTAGGGGAGGGATTGCAAACCTGCATAACATTACTCCTCCTGCAACTGATGCCCAAAATCCTGATCCTTGCCAACTTTGTAACATTGCATCTGCAGTTGCATAATTCCCAAGTCCATGACTTCATTTTTTTGGCCATGTGCCTCACTTACGGAAGCCTCGCTCGTGGCCACTTGGACCACCGCCAGCAGCAGCAAAGCACTTCGCATGGCTCACTTTTTCAATTAGAGCAGAACTCGGACATTTGTAGGTAAGTACCTACCTATGACATGAAGCCTTCGACTTGATGATGATGATGGTGATGATGATGCGGTTCAGTTGAGCTCGCATGGCCGGAAAAAATACGTGTACCATGCAACTGAATTCCAAGCTATCAACACACAAGCGCTTCTTGTTTCAGGGCTTCATTACAGTATAGCTGCAGCAGTCGGGGCTTCCAAGCAAAGCCCCGAGTCTATCAACATGCCAGTCTACGTGTGCGATTGAAGCTTAGGTCCAGGAGCTGACCGTACAGTTGGGTTTTTCGCGCTTTGCGTAGCATCTCACGCTACTTCTATAAGCTGTCTACCGTCTACCCATAAGGATACACTTCTATGTTCTGACACCTCCAACACCCCCAAATTCGCCTGCTGAGCGACCTCGCGTCGGCAACAGTGCTAGGCTTCATTATTGAGCAGAACTCCTGCCCCGTTCGAGTACTGCTACCGCAACTCACCCCATGAGCCAATTATCCCATACTTTTCGACGCATCCCATGAAAAATCGCCACGACTTCCGTGCAACACAATGGACAGTGGTACAGGATGGTATGGAAGTAGCCACTTACTGTACCCAGTTGAAAGCTGAACGGTGGTATTAACCTCGTCGAATTTGTTCAAGTTGAGGGTCAAAGGTTGCAATTGTAAAAGAACCACAAGCCATACCTCTTTACAGAGTATGCGTATATGTTGTACTGATGTACACACAATGTATCGTTTGTTTTTGTCCTCGGTCTGCTGATTTCAGTCCTACCTCACCTTGTCATCGCGCTTACTACACATCATAAACGATCCTCAAGAAACTTAGTAGTTGCTGCGTTGCATGGTAAACAGTAAATAGTTAATCAGGTTCGGGACGGAAAAACGGTGTAGTAGCGTTGGGGTGCCCGGGGGGGAATGGTAGATAATGAGGAAGAACAAGATCTGCGTGGTGTTTACGACCTTGTTGCATTACAAAAAGGAAATTTCCACAACATCAAGCAATTGAAATCAAAAGAAGAGCAAAATCATAATCCATTCTCACTTTTAAGACCCAGCCATGACATGGAAGAGGAACAACAGCTGATGCAATGTTCCCTAAAAATTCCACAACTAACCGATAATAGCACCCATAATTCGTCTGAACCGTAGCTCATTAATTATCTATTCCCCCCTAAAGTGTACGCATTTGTTAAAGAAATTAATATTTGCTAGCAAACAACAATGACTATACACAATTCAATCAAATCTTAATTCAAAATCTTTGCCGACAATGGTGAAAGCACGCCAAACATATCGCTGAATTGAATTACAACTGCAAGAGAAACTGTGCCAGGACAGGCTCAAACTGCCTAGTTTTAAGCTTCGGTCTGCCTCAATCATTCACTTGAATTCACGTTTGGCTCATAAGCTCTGTTCAAATTTGGCGAGTGATTGATTTGTGTACTGATGCAAAATTTGTGCGTTCAACCTTGCCAAGTTTAAAGATAGTGCGCATCGAAAGCCCCGTTAGGGCGAGGGAAAGGCAATGACGCCATTTTTTCATCCTTGTGCAAGGCTTCCATCATAAGAGCGCGAAATGCTCAAACCGGAAAGCTGGTAGTGATGAACTCCATTTCTGAACTCAAAACCTAAAGACAAGTCCCCCAATCTCTAACGTGCATGTCGATGCATGGAGATGGGAAAGTTGCAGGTAAGACAGCTTGGTTAACTATAAGGACGCAGCAGCCTGGGGCTCAGAGTTTCCAAGCAGCTTTAGGCAGCTCGAACGCCACACAAGTCTTCCAGCTGCTCTAGGTCTTGCGGGAAGAGACCACCCTGTACCTCGGTTGCCATACAAATGTGGCCCAACTACATCAAATCTTCGAAGAACCTATGGATGGAGATGTGATGAGGTTCTGCGCCATACTTGCTGGCACGGCGCGTTTCAGGACGACGGGTGGTTCACAGACATTAAATGCAATGCTCAAACTTTTTCTCACCCTTGCTAGGATATGTACTGCATGGAGGCTGCTTCTCCATTTACGTTGGCAATGCCCTCAATCCGGGGGCCCCGTATCCACGGGCTATCATCCACGAGGCATCAATCTGATGCCACAATACCCCCGGCTACCACGCGCCAAGGGGCTGTACCGCACGTAGGCTTTGGCAGGTAACCACTACTCACTTCCCCCCCCCCAAAGTGGAAGGGCCGCAAATGTGGGGCTATTCGCACTCGTGCAATGAAACCTTTTTGAAAGGTTCAGAACTCGAGGCACCGCGCCCTTACCGAACGACGGGCTGGGACCGAGAAGAAAGTATAAGAAAGGGGACACCTGGCCATGCTTTTGGCTACGTCTACGTTTTGGGCAGAAGTATTGCAACATTCACCAATGGACACTGCTCACCAAACCAGGCCTGCCCTACGCACAATGTTGAACACGTGTGATGCAGCGCTCAATTTTCTTTTCTCACTCATCAATGTGTGCAGCATGGGGGCAATTTCTACATCTATCTACGTTGGCAACGCCCCCAATCCGGGGGCCCCCCATCCACGGACTATTCCGCTCAGGACCCATGAGTCGTCAGTCCAATGCCCGATTATTTCCAAAACGTTTTCCAACGTAATTCAAAAGAGGGAGAAGACCTGACTAAGAATCGAAAGGGGGTAGCCTCCAGAGGAAGGCGGGTACGTGCGAGAAGTGGACCGAAAAACCATCCCAACCCCGCTGTCCTCCGGTTGGCTTTACTCGCGGTCCAATTATAACCAGAGGTGACACCCACGGAGGAAGTGCAAAGTATGGATCATTCAAGCCATGTCATCCAGAGTCCCACTCCGCTCGGAGCCCTCAAGGCCAGGGCAGGCAACGTCATCAATCCACCAGATTCCTGACTGGTTCCGGAAATGGAAATGCCCGAGAAACGGATGAGAAGGCGAGAACGGCGCCAGGCCGGCCATGAGGTCGGCCGGGCTCCGGCCTTGTTCTTGCTGGCGCCCGAGATGAAGAAGGCGAAGGGAAACTACGAACTCGAGTACCACATGCTTGCCCACATCAATGGCCGGCTGGCATCAAATGGCTGAAATGTCCGTGACCAATGTGTACCACATTAGAGGGAGGGCCGAAGGCCTCATATGCGGAATGGTGCATCGCCCAAGCCGAGACCAGGACCGGCCAACCCGAACAACACGGCTGTAGGCAGCATTGCCCGTTCAGGAATGCCTTCCAGGATGACGGTCGCCTGAGGCCTCCATCACGGGGCGTCGTTTCTGACGGTATGCTGCGTACCACTGGCAGCATTATCCTCCAAATGACGAGCGGTTGACTTCCTTAACCCCAGCGTACCACACAGGGGTGGTCCTGCAGGAGTTTGAACCCATGGCGCTGGATTTCTTTAGATTTGGACTTGGTTTGACATGAGATGGCGCATACAATGCAGTGAGCTTGCGGCAAAATGCCAATCAGAGCCTTGGGCACAGAAGGTGATTCAATGAGCGGATCAACAGGCTCGACTACTTTCCAACTTGCCTAACTAAAGGCCCCTGCAGCCGGGACAAGTAACAGATCGTCATTTGTAAGGCTGACTTCTGGAAAAGGTTGACAATAATAAAAATTGAACTAAAAACAAACCCAAATAAGAACGCTTGCTGTTTGCTCGACCAGCGTGGTCCTGCGCCTCCCATCCCCGGGGGTACGCGCGGGACCACGCTGGTCAAGCAAACAGCCAGCATTCTTCTCTGAGTTTGTTTCAGTGCAATTTCTTCTTGCCGTCGACCGTTTCCAGAAGTCAACCTTACGGGCGCGGGCCAGGCCAGCTGGCCCATCTGGCTCCAACACCACCTCGGGACCCTGAAGGGTCGCTTCCACTAGGACGGTGGACGGGAACGGTCCACTTTTAACTGCGGCCAAGTCCACTGCCTAAAGCCTGGCCTGTTTGGCATGCTGGGAGGCTCTCAGCACCCGCTTCAAGTCGCCAGGTTTTTCGAACCAGGCAGTGCCAGAAGGGAGGAGCCTTGAAGCCACAGTCTGGCCACTTGCAGACGAGCGCTGAGACACAGCGCCGGAGCAAACTTGCGGTGTTTTTTCTTATGCTCCTGCCTTCCACTGGCGCGTGAACACGCAGCCTGCGACGTCGTGTCCCGCCTCCTGTAAGGCAGTTCCTTTTCTATCAAAGAAGTACGCGAAATCAGCATCTGCGCGAGGCCCTGGGACTTCCGCTGCTGCTGAACAGCTTGATGTGCTTCCAAACTGGCGATTGCGAAGGTCGGCTCCACCATGACGCATGCGTTGAGCGGATCAGGCAGAGCAAATAGAAGCATGAAGGAGAGACACTGCACTTCGAACAGACAATACAAGCCATGGGACACCTGGCCGAAAAATGTTTTTATTGGACTGCTTCAGGCAGCCTGGACGCCACACACACCTTTCAGTTGCTCTAGGTGTTGCAGGCAGAAGAGAACACTGTACCTCGATGGCCATCGACATGTGGCCCCATGGATGGAGATATGATGAGGTTCCACACTCTACTTGCTGTTAAGGTGCGTTTCAAGATGACGGGCGGTCTCATGGGAATTGCAAACTCCCCAGCACAAAATTTGAAGCATGATGCTGTAAGATATATTATGTTGGAAGGTCTTCACGACAAGGCCACGACCCATTCGGCATCCTTGGAGACGAGCCCAAACCCCACAATTGTGAGGTTCATCACATGCTCCTTGATGTTGCTACGGGTCTGGTCCCCATCATCATTACCGAGTTTGATGTCAGGCAAGGCAGCGGCCCCTGCACACCATCAAGGACTGTGGGCACATTGCAAACTCCTAGAGTCCCAAGATTTGTACAGTAACTGGTTGCTACACCTGCTGATTGCGCAGGAAAATGCCCGCTTCACGTACGCGCCTGAATTTTTACCGGTTGAAAGGCTTAGGTTCAGGCGCTGCGTACCTTATTTGGCAGTAAAGACTTTGATTCGGGAAACTCATCAAACTTGTAAGGCCAATTGTGCCGCGCCCGGCCGCTGAACATGATAGTGACCAGCATTCAAATGGATGAGGGGCCTAGTCGACTCCTAGCACGATTTCTATCAAGTGAATTCTGTGTATACAGGGCCCCACGGGAATTATTACACAAAACTTAGTCAAGCCGAGGATTTCGTTGGAATCCAAACGAGAACTTCTCGCACATGCGGGTCGCAGTATGTGGACCTTCGATGCACACAACGATACGTTAATTGTTCAGGATGCAAAGAAGCTGATCCCGGAGTTTGCACAATGCCCGTGAAACGTTCTTGACGCAGCAAAGAGTCTGTGACGATTTCAGGGGCCCAGGGACTACAAATGAAATGCTGTCAAAAGCCTTTTCACAGCTTCCAAACACCCCATCCAAACTCATTGTACACCATGAGCTTACTCACGATACTGTTTTCCGGACTCAACACAAAGTATCTGTGAAGGCCCGAATAGAAAAATAACCGATTGCACTTACAGGCGCAGCTCATGCATCAGATTGCCTGACACAAGTCGCGGTCAAGCAACGCAGGTCATCTCCTAGGGTTCGGATTTATACTCTGGTAGCTTACAAAAAAGCCAACATACACAAGCTCAGGTATATAAGTTCAATATAGGCACATCTTGTAGACACCCAGAAAGCCAGCCGCCGTCACAAGCATTTGCCTCAGCTCTGGTATCAGGTCTTGGTTTATGGGCCTGGTGCTTGGGGTGGGATACTTCAGGGCAGTGCTAACCACGGTTTCCAAGAAAAAGGCTTGGTGCTGACACTGTTGGCCAATTTCCTTGTTGAGCGCAAGTGAATTCATCACTTTCAGCTCAGACTCAACTTAAACTTAAATTGAGGCGCTGCCTGCTCCTGCAACCTAGTGAGGATGCTGCTTGACCAATGTCGGGGTCTGCATTCACTACTTAGTGCTCAGCAAAACATAGTAAGCCACACTACAATAGCTAAGCCATCCAAGCCCCATAGCCAAATCCAAATCTTCGCGAACAAAATCTCAGTCCGAAACTTATACAATCTTGATTGAACTCTTGAACCCCTCGAACCTCACCGCAGAAGCCTTAATCTTTTATATTTGAGAGCTTTGTAAATTCCAGATTTCTTCGATTGAGCCCATGATGTGGGGCATCTATGCATCCTGTGCCATGTTCAAAGAGAGCGACACACGGTGGATGGAGGAAAGTTGCACGGCTTTTGCAACATAGATCGCTTACAAACCCCTATCCCTTTTTGACATTGTATTCTGGAAGCCTCCAGAAACACGTGTTCCAATGACGGAAATCTTGCGCCACCTCATACAGAAAGGTGTCAATGTTAAACAGGGGGTCTGGGGATAACGTCGTCACGCCGTAGGAGATGCCTATTCTGCAGGTGGCGCAAGATTGCCTCCATCCACCGTAGGATAGGGCAAACGCGTAACCTATTCAACCATAGCTACAAGTTTCCCAGCTCCAGCCTCAACCCTGCACTGCAACCCAATGCGCAGCTTGGCTACACACAGCCGTAGCCATTGCGGCCTAGCCAGGGCAGGACACCCCTCGCCTGGGCAAAGCTTCGGAGATCTAAGCTCACAATGTGCCAGGATTGACGCCCAGGTCTGCCAGCTGGCAAAAACAAATATCAACATGCCCGTCCTTTGCTTTGGCACTCACTCAGCGGCCCGGCTCCGCTCACTGTAGCCAATTTCTCCCTACCAAAATGACTCATACATATAAACTTGCAACTGACGCACGCAAAGAGCCAGAATCAAAAATGTCCAACGATAATTGGCGTGCCAAATCCAGGCTAGCTGAGAAGACTTGCCTGAATGCCTGTCTGCCTCTTTGGCTTGAGTTGGTAATCTCTGAGCTATATATTGAAGAATGCGGCCGCAAAAGCGGCCAGAGTTAACTGCATTGCAATGGAATACGACAGCAGAGCAATCCTCACCTCAACTGTTGACCCACGCCTCTTGCAGCTGCGTTCATTTTCCTGGGCATGGCTCGTTTACGAGACCGTGGGACCGTGCGGTCCAGCCCTGTAAAACTGAAGACAGAACTACTTTCAGCCTGAAGACCATAGGGGCTGCGGCTACCTTGGCCACGGCCATGCTTAGCCTCAGACATGTATGGTAGGATGTTGATGCCGGCTTCTGCGACAGTATTCCCGGTATGACATCGGGCTTTCGTTCGTTGGGTGATTGCTTGCATCAACTGTTCTACATAATGTTTTGGAAGACAGCTGGACTTTGTCTAGGGCTCAAGGGTAACCCAAACTGCTGAACTAAACACACCGTCGACAGCACGTATTGTGCAAAATGCCTGCCAGCTTTCCACGGTGGGGGGGATATCTCCAGGGGCCAAAAAATGTTCGAAACGACCTAAGGCATGTGCAGCATGCCCTTGGAAGCGTGGCAAGAAAGTGGTCCCTTCTGAAGATCACTGATGGGCTACCTTGACTGAGGCTTTAACATCCAAACCATTTGCGTGTTGCATGTCAGGCTGGAATCATCCTGGCCCGAAAGCTGGCCTCAGACCTTTGCTTCTGTAAGGAGGTGTGGTCCGCTCACCCCTCTGAGGAAAATGCATGGGCTCAGACTCAGACACGTAAAAAAGGAGCTGCTCATGTTGCCATGGCCATGATAAATAAATCTCTGAAGATGCGACAGTCTTGAATCAGGCGTCCTCCAGGCATGGCCATGTTTACCATTCATCAGGACATGAGAACCTCTTATGGATCTCACATGCACAAGACTGAGAAAACTCTCTGCCCAGCCCATCAAACCCGTAAGCTAGTACCAGAGAACCTTGGAATCTTCAAAGCCCTAACCCCAGCCATGGCCACGTGGCATCTTCTGGTTGATGTAGGTCTGTCGGGTGAGCCCCTGTTCCTCTGAATGCTCATGGAGCTGGGTCGGAGGAGTATTGGAGGCTTTGTCGGCCACAGGATAACAGCACGCTTGGTGTTTATGGCTTGCACGCAATGATGAAACTGAAGCATGGTCTGGAAATGCTGAGAACATCGCAAGACGTGGGGAACGTCTTGCGGGGATCATGAGTCCCAGAATAATTTGCGTGGGCTAGGAGAGCAAGATACAGCAGGCGTCCAGGAGTTGGGACCTTATGAAGTTGTAGATTGATTATGCTTCACGGATGCGCATCGGGTGCCTGCAGCCAGGCTTTATTTTCTTCTCTACAACTATTGAATGCCCAGTGCAAGAGGCTGCTGTGCACAAATGGTTCTCTCATGTTTGCAGCGTGGATCATTTGTTCAGGATGCTTTCGCCAAGCGACCCATCACCAGCTTTAGATGCTCAAGCCGGCAAACCTCCCCAAGCCTGTCCGCCGTTGACTGCTCCGCGTCCGTGCTCGGGGCGCATTTGATTTGGTGGAAGATGAAGGAGTTCCAAAACAGCATGCTAAGGGTTTCGTCCGTAAAAGGCTTACTCGATAGAAACACTTACAGGGCACCACGGGGGCACCTAACAATAACAGCTTGTACTGCCATGCACGGCCATCAGCTCACGAGCACAGCTTTTTCAGCTTGGCCACCCCCGACATAGCCATGATCACAACGCCATCAGCAACGCCGTTAGCAGCATTCGTCCTTGCGCGCGCAGACGAGGGCAACTTGTCATCGTCATAGGACAGTAGGAATTATGTGGGGCACGAAGATCAAAGTTTGGAGTTAATTTGAACTTTGAACCTGCCCTTGAGTCCAAACTCCAACAGTGTGTACGCTAATTAGCCAGGTCTCACTGTCATCATGAGGGCATCAGCCAAATACAAGGTCCACCTGCAAGACGAATGGGGGGCATGGCTTCGGTGAATGCAGTATGTAGCAGCTAGCGGCTAAAGAGGTTCTGGTTCCAGGATCAGAGCCCAGTGTAGGCCGAAGGGCATCCTGCTGAGGGCTCCAGCTCCAAACTCGATAGATGGTATGCCAGGCCACTCCAACCACAAACTCAGCGTCCATAATTTTCACGGCAATAATAATCCCAATCGCCGAAAGTACTACAGAGTTGACATGTACCAAAGAAGGGCGGAGATGTGTCTTCCAGAAGGTGGGCGCTACTCAACATCTGGCAACCTCCGGTCGCTTCCTGCTTACGGCTTGCCGAACTCCAGGAAGATCAACACAAACTTGAAAGCCCACGCATGTCTCGTGCTTGCATTCCAAGATGAAGATCTTGCGCGTTTTTGCGCGTTCATTTTTTTGGGTTCGAGGTATTCTGGAGCAAAAGCTGACAGCTTTAGGGCATTCTTGACCTTCAGACCATTGAGCACTCCCTGTGAGCCATTGCAAAAACCATCAAAAGCCTGATTCTCACGGGTCCTTCCACGCAGCCTTCACTCTGCATGAACATCTCGCGTGCAGCGTAGGCCAAATCCGGGACCCGAAAAGCATTTGCATGCTCGTGCAAGCTTTTCGAGCATGAAAGTACTTCGCGTAAGACAGAAAACGCCCAATCTGTTTATAGGGTTCATGGACACAGCAATGCAGGCAATCAAGAGATCCCAAGTCCCAAGTTCAGGCAGCATATAGGCAACACCGTTACATGCCTTACACTCCCACATTCAGCAAAGGGCGGAGGTGTTTATTGAGGAGGTGTGGCTCATTTTTTGCAAAGGTGTGGCCCTCACTTTTTTGATCTTGGAACGCTTCAAACGCTGTAAATTACAGCATCTGCTGATGTTGGAACTTCGAAGGCTTCAAATTACTGCGTTCGCTGGTCGTGGAACGCTTCAAAACGCTGTAGATTACAGCCGCTGCCGGTTTAGGGATGTTTCAAACGCTGTAAATTACAGCCTCTTCTGCTGGTCTTGGAACGTCTCCAACGTTGCAAATTACAACGTCTGCTGGTCTTGGAACGTCTCAAACGCTGCAATTTCTCCGAATTTCGCGCACTTGCCAAATGGTATAAAACAGACACAGACAAAGCCAACATGGCGCTCAGATACCTCATCCTTTTTTTGCTGCGAGTAGCGAAGCAGGAACATCATTATGGTCAGCACCTGGATTGTTTCAACAACAGGGGGTGGTCCCGGGCTTAGCAGGAGACACCCACCGTTGGCCTTGGAGCGAGGCCGGCCCTCCTCTGGCAGTGGTGCATCCTTCCTGGAGAAGGGCTTGCTCGTTCCCGCGGGTGCCCGGGCGGGAAGTTCGTTTCCAAGTATCCACGAGGTGTTCCATGTTCGCAGCTTGGTTGTTTTCCTCCGGCGTAGGGGTGATGCCTCTGCATCGCAGCACCTCGAGCCGCCACCAAAGGGAATTCTTGTGCTGTTTCCTTTTTGACTGGAAAGGCAGTGGGCTCGCCAGTGGTCCTGCGGCCTGCTGGCTTGGCGGGTTTTGCCTAGGTCTCGCGCACTTGGAGAAAGCCAGCACAGAGCTCGGATACGTCATCTTGTTTTGCTGCGAGTGGCGGAGCACGGACATCATCATGGTCAGCACCTGGATTGTTTCAAAAACGGGGCATGGTCCCGGGCTTTACGAGAGACCCCTCCCATGCTGCTTATTGTGACATCGTCACCCCGCCCTTTAAACACACTCGCGGACGAAACAGATGCTTAGTGGAGGAGTCCATACTGTCCCTCTCCTCCTCTGTGTTTATCCACCCTCCCACGGCCTGGCGTGTACACAAGTTGTCATGAATTCTTTGCGTTGTGAGTCAGCACGTCCCTGTCCTGGGAAATCAACAAAATGGTGTTGAGCTGCCTCTCGTTTTCGCTTTTGCCATGCTGCTTGTCCGGGTGAAGCGGACCGAGAGGCGGCGAAAGGCTCGGAGTCTTTCCTCCATTGCTGAGCCGGGTGGTACACCCAGGATGCAGGAAGCAGGTCTAACTCTTCACGCGGCTTGTCCTATTTCGTCTCCGCGCTTGAAGCCATACCTGCAGTTGTGCATAGGCATGTTCTTTTTCAAGGTCAAGACAATTCCCGGCTTGGAAGGCTAGGTCCGAATTCTCGTCCGCCGAGAATAATCCGAGAATCGCCCCTGCAGCTTGCCAACCAGGGCCCAGCACCAAGAGATCCGTGACGTCCTTGTCCTTGCGCTCCTCCAAAGGGCACCCACTAAATTTGCTACCCAGGTAGTCAACTCGAGGGTGTTTAACACCACTTGTTGTCAGTGATTGCGGCATTTGGTGAGTTCCTCTCCGGCTGGATCCAACGACAATGAGGCCCAAAACTTCTGTGGAGCATCGGGCCCAGGGAATGGGAGAGAGCACTTCCTCAACCTATGGTACCATGAGGGCAGCTCCAGCAGCATCTTTCCAGGCTTTTTGCAATAGCTCTTCCTTGTGCCCTCGGACTGAACCATGGTTCTTGGCGGATTCCCGGTCGAGTGCGGCCTCCCTCCGACTTGGGACGCCATCTCGTCCCAGTACGCGAGATGAAAATTGAAGATCCCGTAAGCATGCCCTTCCTTACTGAAAGCAAGGTGGTTTCCCAAAGATGCCAGCCGTTCACGGTTTAAGGCGATAACGGCTTTCCCAACAGAGCCTGAAGCCCTGGGCAGCAGAGATCCACACTACCGGATTGAAGGGCTCCTGCTGCGTACTCCTCTCAGCAACACTGGAGCTGCGGAGCCGCCAGCAAACCTATCCTCTAGCATAGCGGTCAGAACACTCGCGCCCAAAGACGCGCCAACGGCCAGGCCTCAAGCAGCACAGAGAGCCACGCCATACTGCTGGGCAACCATGCTATGCGAACCAACGCCTGTGGGCCAGGAAGAGGCCACAAATACAATCCGGGCGACACAAGCCACTACGTGCGTTGCGATGGTAGTGGCCAGGCGTGCCTTCCTCAACCCCCAGGTACCAGGCACAGACATAAATCGCAACGAAAATAGCGCCAGTGATGCAAATGTGCCACGTGCTAGGCAGGTCCCAAACCTTGGGATATCGTCCGGTCGGCGCGCTGCACTCAAATGCGAGCTCACGGTCGTATGCAAGATCTCAGACAACTCAGCCGAAAAAGTGGTCGCCAAGCAACTCGTCCTCACGGAGCGGAGCTGGAAGTCGCAATAGGTGGTACTGGGGGAGCCGAGCCAAACTGCCAAACAGTATAGCCACGTCAGGGGCTGGTGCGGTCGCCGCCTTGCGAAGGCGCCGCGCAACGGCAGGGTCCGCGAGACCATGGCCGGGGGCCTTTCATGGACAGGGGATCATCATAAAGCTCCATGACAGGGGGAATTGGAAACCTTGATGGCGAAGACCAGCATATCCAGCAAATACCTCCTGTCGAGGTGCGCCAGTTTTGCCGCCAATCTGCTCCCGGATGGTACAGAGTGCTATAGAGAGGAGGACCCGGAGATTCCATCGGCGGCTATATCCGGATATGTAGTAAGGTAAACCCGAGACTTCGAAGAGCCGTCATCGTATTCGCCTTTCAATCCATGCCGCAACTTTTCAAGGCTGACATGCTGACAGCTCCCTGCATAGCCACCCTGGCAACAGCACTTGGGAACAGCACCACTGCCAACAATACCCTGGCCACGAACAGCACCCCCCCCCCCAACAGCGCCCTTGCCCGTGGGAACTGCGCCCTGGCAATGAACAACACACCTAGCAAGCTGGCAACGAACTCCTTGTCAACTTGCAACAGCACCCGGAAGGCCCACGTGCCGTAAGCTCCCTGCATAGCACCTTGCGAACAGCTGACAGCTCCCTTCGCAGCACCTTGGCAACAGCATCCTATCAACAGCACCCCGCAGCACTTCGGCAACAGCACCGGGACAGCACCCTGCCCTTGGCCCGCGCGCATGCGCAGCACCCGGGAACAGCACCCATGGCAACAGCATCATCGAAAGAACAGCCCTTGCAACAGAATCCTGGCAGCAAACATCTTGGCAAGAGCACCCTGGCAACACAACCCGGAAGAAACGCATAGCGACATCTCCCTGCACAGCACCCGGGCAAAGGAACCTTGTCAATTGGTGACAGCACCCTGTCAGAAGCACCATGAAGCACCAATGGTAACAGCAACCCGCGAGGCCCGCGTGTGAACAGCCAGCAAAAGCAGCTTGGGAACAACACCCGCGGCAACAAAACAATGGTAACACACTGAAGGCCCGTGTGTCGACAGCCGGTCCAGCTCATGCAGCTGCTCAAGCAAATTCTCCTGCTGCTGCGCGGGCAACAGCAGCTGGCTGGCGACAACCCTGACAACAGCACGCGGACAGCACCCTGGCGTGGCCCCCATGCCGACAGCTCCCTGCACAACATCCTTGCGACAGCACCCTGGCCAGGACAGCGCCCTGTTAAGCTGACAGCTCCATGCACAGCACTCTTACGACAGTATGCTGGCAACAGCGCTCGGACAACACCCTGCTCCTGGCCCGTGTGCTGACAGTTCCCCAGCACCCTTGCGACGGCGACGCGGCAGCACCCTGGCAACAGCAATCTGGCAAGCGCACCACAACACAGACAACACCTTGCCAGCACCCGGCCCTGCAGCTCTCCACGCGCAACACACAAGCTGAGGTTCTGCAGCGCTCGGCTTCGAGTTGAAGGCCGAGTCCCACGGTATTTGCGGTGCTTAACGAATTTCGTGCTCCCAGAAACGGTACTTGCGGTTGGTTTGCTCGCAGACATCGAGTCTCACGGTATTTGCGATGTTTTTGAGCCCAAACATTGAGTCCCATGGTATTTGCGTTGTTTTCGTGCTCCCAGAAATCGAGTCCCACGGTATTTGCGATGTTTTCGAGCCCCCAGACATGGAGTCCCACAGTATCTATTTGCGATGTTTTCGGACCGCACGGACTTCTGAACACTACAAAGCCCAAGCGGGACCCCTGG